AATGTTCTTCAGTGCTTCGGTTACGGCTGTTTGAATGGCTGGGATATCATCATAAAATGCTCCCTTCATCTTGGTTTTCATTTTTGGAAACATAAAATAGTTAGAGAAATCCCTTTTTTCATTAAAATCTCTAGCGGTTTTTTGGTCGTCATTTAATTCATGTGGAACAAATCTCGCACAGACCTTTCTTTTCACCAAATCTTCAGTTAAAATTCTGCAAATAGTATTTTTACTCGTATTCAACTCCTCAGCCAACATTCTCGTAGTAAAATTTGCATCGATACCAATGATTTCAGGACCTTTTTTAACAAGTTCAGCACGATTACTAGTTTCTGGACGTCCTGCTCTAGGGTCGTCATTTAAACCCTCACGACCATTTTTAAATCGTGTAAACCACGTATAAACTTGCGTACGACTAATACAATTATCACAATGAACTTTTTTCATTAATTTTTTTTCAAATTTGACACAAAATTTTATATTTGCTCTTTGTTCCATTTTATTTTTGAACCATTAGCACACTTTTGGTTTTATGGAAATAGCGTTTGAAAGACGATGAATGTATCTTTTTAATTTTGAAAATTTTCAATAGATGGCGCTGTATGTTGTATGATTTAAATATAAAGTTCGGCTATTTTTCGGACACACCGTGTATGTGTGTAGAATATCAAATTTAATGCTCTTAGTTGGTTTTCTGCCAGATTTATGATACAAAATCTCAAAAACCCAAAATCGATCGAAATTTTTACCAGCTAAAGTGATCCATGCTGGCCGATTCCGACTAATGATTTTTCTCCCAGTTTGGGTGGGATATCTCAAAAACTGAGCAGCTTGTCTGCGTACAAACAGACAGACATACAAGAATTGACTAAATCAACTCAGGCCGTCATTCTGACCCGATGGGTATAAATTTGGATGGATTTGTCTCTTCTTCTTCTGGTACTTACATACTTAGTACCAAAAATATTATACCATTTCATACATTCGCATTCGCATAAAGTGATACTAAAGGTTGAAGACATGAGCCTCGCATTCGGTCTTCCCAAAAGCCAATAATGACTTTTGAGATCTCAAAATATCAGTTCTGTTCGGTGACCGCATGAGTAGTAACCAAGGCTGCATCGTAACGATGAATTTGACGTTAATCGATAATCGATCTATCGCTTTGTTTGAAACATTTGAAAATATTAACGTTAAAGCTGTTTTCAAAATAATAGCAAGCAGCCATTTTAAAAGCAAAGTTAACGGTTTCCTTTCATTGAGTTAATTCGTATAATATTAGTAATGTAGTCTCCATATATGGTTTTGAATGAATTTAACGGTATAAAGTAATGTACATAGCAGAAACACTCTTCATTTCCAATTTGTTGCCAATTTAAGGATTTTATTGGAGAATGATTTGATTTTTTTTTTACTCTTTCATATTCTCCTTTATGCTTTCTACTATTGCCATGTTAATTTATTTAATTTAATTGTTAAGCCAATTTAAACTTATCGATTGTGCAGACATTGTTTCTTAAAATACATATTTATTTCCTGAATATGTATACATATTCGTGAGCTCATACGATTTCCAGTAGTGTATATATAATACATATGTATATGCATGTGCAGTAAGTATAAAATGTTTTTGTTGGCATCATCACTTTGCTGATATTGTCCATGTGTTGCTTTTTACAGCTTCTTGGTTTTATTTGCAGCTTTAATTGAAATGCCTGCCTACAGACTATGCAGGCATGTATGAGTGTATGTATTTAGGTATGTTCCAAATATGAGTGTAGATGTCATCATTTATTCCTTTCGTTTATGGAATATGCGACACATTATTTATAATAATTATTTTTTTTTTTAACTGCATGCATATGTATGTTTCTGTGTAACACATACTCTTGGCCTTGTACATATGTAGGTACATTAACGTATATACATACATACTTATGTGTATATAGATTAGAATTGCGTGTATCTCGCATTTGCCAACTTTTTTAAATTTTATTTGAGAATATTGGAATGTGCGGTTCCGCTGTACCGAAAACAAAAACTTTTTACTCTAAATATTTATTAAATTTAAAAAAGTCTAAAATTCTTATTAATGCGATATTTTTCTTCTAATAATTTTTCTTTTCTCAAGGCAAGGAAGAGTTTGGTTATAAATACATAGATGATGCAACAGGCTACCCAAAAGAAATTCAGTTTCATACAGGGATATTTTAGTGTTGTTGTTATTGTAGCCGCAAAAACATTCCTTGAAGTACTTTGTGGGGAATGTTGCGGAAGTGACATTCCTTGGCCGTATAATAACCCGGATCGTTCGGGCTGAAAGACCCGACTGTAGCGGAAACTTTTGGATTATGGTCGCCTCTCACGGCATTCTTAAGTGAACGACTCGTCTACTAGTAAGTAAATTAGACGTTATGTTCTTGGTCATCTGCTGCGAAATTCCATAAACAGGTAGTTACGATCGCGGCTAGAACCCATGAAAGGTACATTATGTGCTTAGCTTTGATAGAGCACACAAATAGTGACGGTGCTTATCGTACATCAGCTCGGTATAGGTTGATTTCTATAGTACGTCATTCACAGGAAGCGACCGTATGAAGATGTTGATCGAACTTCTATAGAAAATATTCTACATGATCCATGAAACAGATTAGCGGTAGGCAACCCAAGGCCAGCATTGTAATTTTATACGGATTTAGCCGAGAAAGAACGAAAAGTTCTTTCATAAATAATGGTCCGAAGTATGTAAGTACCAGAAGAAAAAGGGAGACCTATAAAAATTTATACCGATTCAACATGAAGGAGATCACCTTACTGAGGTTCTCAATTTGTCTTTCACCAATCTAGCAATACGAGATAAGTAGAGAATTGGTAAAGCAGTCCCGCTATTTAAGCCGTAGAAACCACTCAACAAGAGAGAGTCTTATTGCGGTAGGACATGCTTGTCAGAAGAGGCGACTAAAGTCGCAGTCTCTATATCGGAACGACTCGGTTTATTATCCGGCCAAGGACTACATTGGGGAAGGTAGAAAAACAACAGCGGATAATCTTAACGGCCGATATCCCTCCTTTCCTCATTATCATCGTGGTTGAAGATGTGGACTATCTGCAGCATGAGTGGTTGGCAGTCATCGGTAGGTTTTCGAGGACAAACTTCTAAGCTCCTGTCGAAGGCTGCTTTCCTCTTTACGCTTCTTTTTAATTTTTACATCTCGAAGCTCCCTCTTCGACCAGTAGACGTTATTTTGACCTCATATACCGATTACTGCACGATGTTGACGTCTGGTTGGAATATTGACAACTCACTCAACTGTGAAATCCACGGTTATACATTGAACCAGCTGACCGAAGAAGTACGGGCTCGAATGCGATGACTTAAATATTCTGACAGCTAACAACCCAAAGCAACTGGAGGTCACATTTGGCAGCCTCCAATCTTGTATTCGACATACGACTGCAATTACAGAGCGGCTACTAAATCCTCATTGCGTTAGCCGGTAGCAGTTGGGGAAAACACAAAGAAAAGTAACTGGCAACATACAAGGTAATTGACCGGCCGGTCGAAAATTACGCTCCTGCAAGTTACAAACAAGCTACGAATTAAATACAATCTGTAATTGCTATTTAACGAGAGTCCTTCAACAATTTAATGAGCTATCCTCCAAGTGAATGACGTTCTCGGAGCAAAACACCACCTATTGCGGATGAAGAGCTCGAGCTGCCTCGAGAGACCTGAGCAATATTGGCACAATTGAAAACTGTATTTCATTGTTGACTTAATTTCTACTTATCCAGACTTGTCACCGACATACCCAACGTATATGCTGCAGTTTAAGAGACCCTGCAGCACACTGATCACCACTTTGTATGCGCCTTAAAGCATACTCTCTCTGATCCGAACTCGTCGAAACAGCTCGTTTCCTGGACTTCCGGTTAGATGACCTCGATGACTTAGATTAGACTAGCTTGCTCCTCAGTGGAATTGGATAGCCATTGTAATAACAACAAAGCTTTCTTCTTGTATTTTTTTTTGACTCTGAATATCTCTTGTATTGGATGAGTGCATAAGTTCGTGCCCGATTCCGCTGGATGCCGTTCGAATCGTTTGAGAGTGGCGCTCGGGAAAGAAATATATACATATTATATATCGTTGGAAAGGTGACAGTCCGAACTGTAAATCAAGCATAAAATCACTTCATTTTGATTTGAGTTGCTTAG